TTGCCGGCTTGTTTGTAATTGTTTTGCTATCAACCGACTCAACAATATCGGAAACATTACTGTTCATTTTAGAGTTAGAGGGAGCGGTAACTTGTACCAACGAATCAGATTTGGAGAAAGCCAGAGGTGACGTCCCACACGCTACGCTACGAGTAGAAGATGAGTATCCAATAAAACGACACTCATCAAACCTAGACTTAGTGAGCTCAAACTTTTCCCACAAGCAGCCGAGATTTCTACTCAATTCCGAGAAACCATAACGGGTCTCCGTGAAAAGTTTATAAAAGTCAATGTCCCGCTGCCTACAGTCAGGACATGACCATCTTAAGCCTTTAGACGGGTCAGCGACTGCGTCAGCAGCACGGCCGAGAATACCGGCACACTTTGCATGACCAAAGCGCTCGCAGAGCCAACAAGAAACAAATCTATCAGAATCTGGGCCAGATTTCGCCCGACAAGGTGTATATAAACCCTCCATGTCCAGTCAAAAAGACAGTTGTGGATTATGAAGAACGGACACAAAAATCACTAAAAAAATCCTGAACATAAGAATTTATCAACCAAATTTTTGCAAAACTTCTCTGTTACGTTGACACTGTAACGAGAGATCAATAGCAACACAAACTCCAAACAGCGAAAAAAATAACAGAGAAAAAAGAGAGAAAACAAAAAAAAAGAGAGGTTTATATCAGAGCTCAAAATTTTTATTTTCAAAAATCAAATGAATCAAAGCGTAAAGGAAAAGTATTTCTTTTACTTTGAATTCACTCACTTTCTTCTCAAAATATATTATAAATTCACACACTATAAGGGAGAATAGCCACGAAATTCAACAAAAAATTAAAATATTAATTGCCGAAACAAAATATAGACGACTATAACGCGCAACAGAGTTGCCAGACTTTTAAATTGGTTCAAAGGACCTCAGCGATCGTCAAATAAACTAAAAGATAGAGAGCGACTTCCAACAATTGGCGAAGCAAAGATCTAATAGTCCGCTATTACAGTTTGAAGTGCGGTTGTAGTGAAGTAAATTAGGATCAAACAATTCCTTGAAAAACACAATAGTTTCATTAGATGTTAAAGCGGGGCCCATACAGCCAGAATTATTACTATAACCACTATACTAGACTTATTGCTATGTTCCCACAACGTCAAGTGACTTGTGGGAAATTCAAGTCTCCCAACGCTATAACTACACCAAGACGTTCAGACTATTCGGCTCGTCATAAATGGAGATATTTGCATTTGGAGGAATATAGGAGCAAGTTACATTTAGCTGTGTACTGTCAATTTTCGAACGAATGGCAATAAATTCAACGTTAGGAGGAGTAAGAAATTCAAACGGCACTGCAGCAGATATGGTAATTAAAACTTCACCACCACTGCGATCCAATCGATCTTTTCAGAAAGCCTGAAAACAACTATGAAAAAGTTCCGACGAATGTAAATCAGGCTTTAACAAAGTTTCGGTGAAGGCCAAACAGGAAAACTCCGTGCTCACTGAATTTAGGAAAGTAGAGCGAATTTTTTAGCTTAAGCACTTAACATTTTAGTATATGAAAGCTAATAAGCCTGAAGAAACATCTAGTTTTTGAAGGTGGCAGATTTACCGAAGTAATGCGTTGGAGTCGATCCCGATGATTGAATTCCTTAATTAAGGATCGAAATGGCCACAATTGTTTTTTTTAGCAAAATATCCATATATGTATTCGTTTAAAGAAACGACGATATAGCTCTAGGTTGAGATAGATAGCCAATTTGAAAATGCTTAAACGATTCAAATTGACGGATGGGGCTTTTGCAGCCAGATAATTTTTCATGTTAACCAAAAAGTGTCAGGCGGAGTCTTGACACGAATACTGCCACTCTGGAGGCTACTGCCGTGGAGAAAACGTTCTCCCTACTTAAAATAATGGGATTCGCAGGTGGAGAACTTTTAGTTGGCGAGAATATAGACGGGGTGACCACACTTTCACGTGCAGTTGCACAGATGTGCCCAGCAGGTGACCAGAAGACAAGCGCGAATAGCCAGGGGGAGAGGAAGATTTTTTATTTTTGTTAACATTTTTTGCAGAACCTGAATGGCACCCTTGGAAGGAGATACCTTTGCCACTTGAGCGTAGCTAAAACGAGGAGGGCTTCCCGACTTATCAGCGACTTTTTTATTAGCCGCCAACTCAACGGTAGCGGAAAGCATTAAGTTCTTTGTGAGCATGGATGGCGCACGCACATGAGTCGACGAATCAGATTTAGGCGAAGGCGGAGGTGAACTATCACACGCTATACTACAAGTTGGTCTCGCACAGGTTGGGGGAGAATATGAGTGCTTTAGATAAAGCTCACTGAACATTGATTTCCTTTTTCTAAACTTCCATATGTCTGAGAGGTTTTACGTGGATATGCTACCTTGTCGGTTTAAGCCCACGGTGCCCGATGATACTCGAGTTAAATTAGCGTAACCGGCGTCCTCCAAAGAGCGAGACTATCGCTATAAGCTAGGGGCCTAAACTGCACTGAAAAATCTAGATATGTTTATTTTGTATGACTCAATAAACCCATTCTGGTCACTGTTGAGGCCTATCATCATGATGCCCTCCGAAGGGACGTACCCAGCAGTCAGGACTCACACATTGGTTAACTGCTGCGTTCAAATTGGGGACTGGACATACACGCTTTCACCGCGGTTTTCAAATGTATCTGCAGTAAATCAATGCTGTTACCCGCAGGCACTTGTGACATAGTGAGTAGGCTTTTGAGCCCGATGGAGCTTAAATTTAGACTATAAAGCCCTTAGCCTCATTTTAAGCGACATAGTCACTCTTGGCTTTGGATTAATCATACAATCCCGGCTAGCCGGAACCAAATTATCCTTCTTCAAGATATATTAGCATCGGGTGTTACATCTGACATGGTGGGTGGTAGCAAGCTCTCGACTATTACTATATCAACGTGTTTTATGTAACCGGTTACCAACTGGTTTTGGTTAGTGTTTTCTTCATAGTAATAGCCTATAAGAAAAAAGTCCTTTTTCCAGTGACCCCCTAAGCGACCTTTCAGAAAACCTGTCGCCAAGCTATAGATAGTCCAGGTCTTAAAGTCTTCTTTGCAGGTCGGGAATGTTTGCAGGGATCAACAGGAGGAGGTGAGAGTTTCGGCACATCTCTGCTCCCCCAAAAGCACAATTTATTACTTTCCACACAAAGTAAGGGGAATTTTGCTTAGTTCAGAAAATCCAATCCTTGTCCCCGTGAACAGCTTATAAAAGTCAATATCTGCTTTCTACAGCCGACGTAATCCCTTCAAAGGATCAACGGCTGCATTTGCAGCAAAGGCATTGATACCTGCATACTTCATATGACAAAAGCGTTCGCAACAAACAAGAAAGTTTGTTTCGCACACAAAGATTATCTCTCATATTACAAGTAAACTTGGCGCTAATAAAGATATAATAAATAAAGAGAAATCCAAGAGAAAAAACTGTAGAAACACAAGAATTAAAAGAAAGAAACAAAAACACTAAGAAAAAGGCTTATTACGGAGAGCACCAAGTGCTGATCGCGAAAACCAAAACGAATATCACGACAAAACGATCAATATATTTAAATTAATTGAAAAGCTTTTGTGCAATAAGACAAGAAAAAGAAATTGTAAAATCGATTCGCACAAAGTAGAGCAGTACGACTACAACGGGCGCATAGTTGCCAGTTTAAAATAACAAAGTGTGAAATTAAAAAAAAATCAGAGTGGAAACAAAGAATTTAACAAAGTTATTCGTCGTCACCTTTGAAGTCACTTGAGATCTAACGAAAAGGAAATCAAGCTTTTTAGTTTCCAGCTTTAGCACCTTGTTGTACGATCAGTCGATGTAATTGTTGGATGGTCTCTTGATGACGTCTTTTATTATCGATTCAGTTCTGGAGCTTGTGTTAAATGACGCCTTGTTTCCTTGGCTTTCATTGTAGCTGCAAGTAACAAGAATGACACATTATATTTTAAATAATAAATCACATACATGCAGTTATTTGCGCTTCTTAGTTGCACTCGGCATATTGCCCTCAGTCGCTATATTCATTACTTTGGGGCTACTAAACGCATAAAAACAATTAAAAATAAACAGAAAAGTAAACATTAAAATTTCACTCGCCGCGCTACAGTACTGATGAAGCAAAATGCATCACTGTCCAAAGGTTTCACCAAGCGCCAAATTTTAGCGCACTTTCAACTTCCTCAACTGCTGCCTTTAAATTTGATAACTTCACATAATTTTTCCTTCTTGACAGTCAATTCTACTTCTGCCTTCGGCCCGCCTCGTATTTGCTTCAATCGCAAATAGAACATAAAAAACTTTTGAAGCGATTGTAAGATGGTACAAACCATTGCCAACAATCTTGCATTTAATGTCCTTTCTTTTAAATCTTAATTTTAATGGTAGTGATCATTAGATTTTCAGTTTGTAAATTTTTAAAAATGGCCACTGGGACAAAAGTAATGAATATGTTTAGTTTAATAGGAGAACCGTTATTATCATTGTGGCGGCGAGTAAAAGCGTGCAACCACGAAAAAGCGTGGCTTCATTGTTTTAGGAAATTATACAATTATTAGCTTTGTCAATTCAAAAAATTCGCTAAAAACTGTTTATACAATTTGTTCTTATAATAGATAATTTTTGAAAAAAAAATTTTTTTTTCATATTCCCATTAATAGTTGGTTTGTCTCAAAAAGAAGAATATGTGTCATTTGTTGGATTTTGACGGCCAAAATTAAATATAATCAAAAACTCTCTTTTTTCTGCTTTTTTATTTATAAGTGAATGATAGCAATGAAATTGACACGAAAGTTTTACTCGACCGGAATCAAGACTTTTATAAATTATCGGCCTGCATTACGCACACTAAATGTGTCCTTAAATGATCTATACGATGTGTTGTTGTTTTATTATAAACCTTGATTCTGCTAACTTTACAACTTCCTTGTTTTCTCTCTTTTATTTGCAACAGTTTTCAGCTGACAGAGACGCCATAGCCGTATAATACTTTGGGTTCTTGCTACAATCGCACTACTACCGGCAACCATTTTTAGTGACAGCATTCGTTAATGGGTCAACTGAACCTTCGCTTAAGTAAAGGCCATGCTCGGTCTTCCTTAAGAAATTTCAGTGACGGACTCGATGTTGCTCTGCTCACGTTTTTTTTTCCGTCTATTCGTAGAGGAGGTTTACAGTGTAGCATGTCATAAAAGAGACAAAAGTGTCTAACAAGACACGTTATTGTTTGTGGTATATCATATCACCGAACACCTTTAAAGCGATGCCTATAAAGCTTCCAGCAAGTCTACGATGAAGTGCTGTAATGAATAGTAACATTAACTTAAAGGAAAAAAAATTTTTTTTTTAAATATCGATCTTAGGCTGAAAAAAACTTAATAAAAGAGAACAAAATTAGCTTAAATTGTTCTATTGGATCATCCGAGTTTTGATTAGAAGAGTTGTCTGCTCTATTATTTATTCTTCGTATAATGCTGTCAATTTATTACCAATTCTTTTGTTATTCTTAACAGAGACTTTTTCTTTGTGCATCAAATGTCGTGCATACTTATGGCCGATTTGATGAATTTAGCATCATCATCTAATATCACTCATCGAGTTCTACAAATTTACTGCATAGAATAATATAATGCCTCAAACATAAATGATACTTCTCATAACATTAGAAAACATGAAAATCCATGAAGCAACTCTTTTTAACGTTTCAAAATAAAGGGCACTGCATTTCCTACATGACCAATGTGTGGTACCCTTATATAGTAGAACTTTACATCTCAATTTGTTCTAAAATATAGGCCATTGTCCAACGCAATGTTTTCGTGCGTCCGTAGACGGCAATGACTGAGCAGAACTTCTATTACTAGGGCGACCTCTTTTGTTGCCATTGATATGAGATCCCACATTGCAAAGCCAAATCATTGCGCAACCGATATTTGGTAGCTGTTTACTTGGAATTGCCTTTGCAATGAAGTTTTTTCATAAGTACCTACGAATATATTTCGGCTAGGTTCAATAGAAGATCCAATACGCGGAGGTACCATTTGCGGCTTTTTCTCTTATTTATTGTGTGTATTTCTCTTTTTATTGTATTCTAATTTTAAAACAATTAGAATAAGATTTTGTATTAAGATGTACTAAATCCGACTGTAATTTTTTTTAGTTGGATTTCATGTATAAACAAATAAATAAATAAATAAATAAATAAACTAGACTAAATAATCTAATTTCTATTTGCAAAAGTCTTTGCAAAGATATAGCGTTAATTATTTACCTAACTTTCCTTAGTTAGCGCTAAGGCCGTTGGTAAATCAGACGGAGGAAATAGAAAAAGAATGTGATACAGTGGTTTTCTTAAACCAGTAATGAAAGCCCGAAGTGCGTTTTATATTTTCCAATTTACGGTGCTAAAACTCTACCATATGTCAGTATCGCTTTGCTTCTTAGTAATTAAAAGTTTCTTTCAACCTTATCCTAGAACTGAGAGACTATTGAAAACTTTGTATTAACATGCTGAAATCGGTCGTTTATCAACATATGTAAAATGTAACCTAGCTATTGCCGAAAAATTGATCAATGTACTGAAGCATGTCAGCACGAAGCCTGACTGATCCTTAATTTTATTTCTAATTATTGCCACTGCCTTATAGAGTTTGCAACTACCGTCGCACTTGTCAAAAATTTGTTATGCATGTAATTCTCTAACTTCCCGTTAAAACCGTGTAACGATTTCACAACATTAATAGATTCATCACATTTAACTCAGAATAATATCTCTGCCTCTTTGTATACTTTCACTTCTGTCCCCGTTATTGAAAGAGATGTTAGTTTATTGGACAGTTAATTTATGTTCTTATTAAAGTCAGAAAAAAATGAATTGCACTTTTTAATAGCTGCGATATTTGATGTACATTTATTTCGTTCGACGGACGCACGTGCCATTGCTGAGCTAGCTAGTTTGGGAAATAAGAGGGGTTTGAAATTTTTGTCCCACGACACTCCACAGGTTACAACTAAAAGAAATACACGTGCTTTAACGCATGCAAGGACGGACGCAACTTACTTACTGGACGGACTGATTCTACGGCCTGGGCCACTATTTACCCTGCCCTACCTACCATTGGAAACCTCGAAGTTGGGTCCGATAACTTTTAAGCTACTTTACTTTCAACAAAAATTTATTCAATACAATTTTGAGTTTGTTTTAATAAAGAAAATTCGTTATTAGAAGAGATTTTATATTGATTGTGATTGCATATAGTTGTTATACACCCACTTTGAAGTGTGAGAGAATTATGAAAATTCAGCATAATTCTTTTGCAAAAAGAAAAACGAGAATTATGTCAGACTTCAACTGGCTGATAATTGCATTTCGTGATGCAATACGACGGTAGGCGCCCTAATGAAAAAAACCGTAAGAATTATTATTTGCTTACGCTAGCATTAAGATACCTGTAAAATTTATTATAAATGGCTATATCAAAGCTTAATAAGCACTTCACATAGCCTTTCATTCGCTAAAACTTAAAAAGACTTTCCATCGGCCTAATATTATAGATAGGAACTGCTTCTAGCCGATCTTAGTATTGGCACTAAAAGAAGCAGATTGACTTGGCGGACTGAAGCCGAGCAGCATGGGAAAGTATTCCACGACAGCACTCTGGTCACATATGTAGAAAGATTCATAGGGAATCTTTCTAACACTGTATAGGAATAAACGTTATAACGTTCACTACCTAAAGTATTGAGCTATTTTTTTTTTTTTTTTTTTTTTGGTATGTTGAACAGAGATGGACTAAGCCAATAGATTTTTGGTATGTTGAACAGAGATGGACTAAGCCAATAGATTTTTGGCTTAGTCCAAAGTATTGAGCTATAGCCTATAACATTATGTTCTCCAACAACAAAGCTAAATTCGTTACAATATTAATAAAATTGTTTTTACATTTGCTTTATATTTTTTTGTAAAAAAAATATTTGATATATATATGTACATAAATTTCTTTTATTTTCCTCATTTAGAAGAATAATCAAGTGAAAGTTCAATTTACATTTATTTTTTTTATTATCATTTATTACACTTTTATACACTTTTACTTTTCAGATTATAACACCCACATTTTTGTACCAAACTTACATAGTAAGTTAAACAAAATTTCACATATCAATTTCTTTTTTACATATCTATAAACGTTTAAAATCTCTTCGAATTTTAAATATTAATATTAAATTCAGTATATTAATTCAGTGTTCAAAACGAACAACCTTTAGTTGTTAATTTATAAATGAATTGAAAACTTTTTATGTGCAACACAAGCACATCAACATTTAGTTATTTTTATAAGGACGTTATCGGTAACACAATCGCTTTCAGATAAAAAAATTGCTTTCACATTCGTTACTATCTTCCCTCAATTACAAAGTACATCATTTTTCTTCCGATATGGCATTGTCAACTTTTCATTCACAATGTTTGCCGTTTTCATTTTAGTATATTGTAATCGATAATTTAACATAAGGCATATAATGGCCTACGATAATAATTGAGTCGATATTTCAGACATTTTGCAAACACGCTTAAATCACAAAAGTTCGTTTAAAGTGTTTATGCTGATTATTCCAAAGACATATTTTTAAAAAAAAACTTTCAATTTAATTAATTACAATTAAATGTACTGTTCAGACGAAATCGTGAATGTCAATACCATTTTGGTTGTTTTTTTGTTTTTTTGTTTTTTTTGTTTTAGTACTCATATGCCTTTTCAATAAAATATATTATTATTATTGTCTTGTGCTTTGTCATGTAAAGAAGTCTTTCCTTGTGCTCCTGCTTTATCATCTTAAAGGGAAAAGGTTTTGATTAAAATATCATAATTTAAAATACTATACTCGCTTTCTCATAAGCAAGTAACTTGCAACATCTACATGTACAATAGGCTTAATTCTCACCTTTTCCACACACAAAATTTGAGCTCTAATGCGTTTATTATTGCGAGCAATAAAAATTCTACACCAATCTTCGTGAAAATTTTGAAAAAAACCGTTTCAGCGCAATATTCAACAATATTTTTTTCACGTTCACACTAATATTTTCGATTCCTTTTAAATAATTCATTTAAAAGGTTCGAAGTTTTTGTTCTCAACACGAATTTATTTTATGAGAAAAGTATTTTTATTAATATTTTCACTATTAATTTTAAAAATATACGTTGATTCCGGACAATAATTTTACTTTTCTTTACATTTGGATATTTTTTTTTCTTTCAATTCTTTCACCTCTCACTCTTCCTCTTCTTTTGCGGATTTTTCTTTCTTTAGGCATACCAATCTCCTAAGCTGCCAAATTTTGTTAGTAATCATTTTTCGTCATTGAACTTACCAACCCTACCTTCTGTAACGCTACAGGGTTGTCTTTCTAAATAAACGGAACGAAATACAAATGTTATGCCATCTGCAATAAAAAAATTATTAATAAAATAAAAAAAAATATATAAATAAAAATGTCTTGCTTGAAAAAAAAAAAAAATGAATTCCATGATTGCTTGAAAAATACAGCTACCTTGTGATGTTTAGTACCGAAGAAACCTCATTTTACCGCCCGCAAAACTAAATTTAACCTTAAAACCTCATAATTTTCTGCACATCACATCATACTACATCGATAATATCCAGAATGTTAGCCACAACTATACCTATCCTTACGTTCCGTGATAAAAATCAATACATATCTGCGAGACTTTATGTATATATATTTTTTTTCAATGCTTAAACTATCTTACAGCAAATCATTATCATAGTTGTTATTTACTAATGAATATTGCCTGCTGGCTACAGACAAATATGTACGCAATACGTTCGCATTGACTTCATCATCTGTCTATGGTGGACACCATACAAATGCGAACAAACAGTTTCATAAGTGATCTTTGCTTTTATATGCTTGTTTAATAAAAGCACGAAATGTGTATTAGTCGTGAATGTTTTTCAATACATCTCTCTTATTTAATCGTTTAGGTAGAGATCATTTCTTTTATCAATTATGACGCTTATATTATAATATGCATACAACTGGACTGTTTTATAATATGTAATTAGAAATGTTCCGTATGTATATGTATAATCAAAAAATATCCTAATGTAGAGACGGTTGCTCAATAGATGCACTTTTATAAAGGCGAATATGATATTAGCGCATATAAAGGTGATATTAGAAAACCTAATTTGTTGTAAAATATTATTGATCCCTTATAATATTGTATTGAGTGGGCATATACACATACATGTATATGTATTTATTAGTCGTATTAAAACATATTATTTCGGTGGTCTAACGTTATTTTCTACCCCTTACTGCTTTATTAGTTCCGACAATATATTATATTGTCATAATCATTAATTCGTTAGGCCTAATGATATCGCAAAAATATATATAAGATCCATGCATATAAACTTATAACTCTTATACTTAGTTATTATAGTAACTAACTCCCTAATAATAAGAATTTTACATCATTATGCATCCATTTTGTATCATAATTCCCCTGCAATGATAGTAAATGCCTCTTATTATTATTATTTTCTACTTTTATGAATGCTCGCTTTGGGTATAATTATCTTATTATATATTCCAGCGCTGTGTGTCCGTGAAATAATGAATTGTGCGAGGTATCACAATTCTGGCTATAATGGTATAAATATAGCGACGAAACGTATGAATTTCCAGGTCACAAATCTAACTGTGGCAAAATTATACCTGAGCCGCTCGCTCGATTGACCATCCCCCTCTACTTTCTGGCTTAAGTTTCCAATTATAGTGCATCTGCTCCAAGGGCGAAGCTTGGGCCACTAAAGTCCAATTTATTGTCGGTCGTATTTGAGGGAAGATAGGAAACGCAGACGGGCAGTGGATTATCGCAATACATCGGATAGGATTATATCGCATCGTAAGGTATTGAATAATCACGTTACAAACTTCATGTTATTAGTAACGCTGGTGCAGCTATGGTTGAGTACTTTCCGTTGGGCGCGAATTGTGACGTCTTGATTGATGGTTTTATTTTTTAGTTTGTTTAAAAAAGACATTATATTAAGTTCACATTTTAGTAATCAGAAAACGTGTTTCTTCTTTGCGAATAAGTGTTCTTGTTTTCTAACTGTCCAACTCCCTTTTTTTCTCTATTGTGTTTATACGCCTAAATGTATTAGCTGACAGACATGCCAGACCTATACATTACTGTTTTCAAGTTCTTACTAAAACCGCACTGCTAATGACAACCATTTGTGGTGACAAAATTCGCTTATGTGTTAACTTACTTACTGAAATTTGTTGCAATGTTGGACGACAGCAACAAAATTTCTTTTCCATGCTTGATTCAATACATTTGTTAAATAGTTTACATTGCTCTTTTCACAATTGTATTCGAAACAGTATTTAATGATTTAGTAAATTAACGCTTACGTAATATATGTGTAAAGATCGCATTGTTAAGTGAACTGTTCATCTTTTCTTTTTTTCTTTTCAAATGAAAGAAGTAATCGCCACAATATTTGCTTTTTTAGAAAATGATAGAATTAACAACAACACTATTTCGCAAGCGCAAGTGTTCTTTCATTCGAGCGGTAAAATGTATTGTTTATATGATCATTATTACGCTTATATCTTGAGCATTAGAGATATTCATACGCTCTAAATTTGTGCAAATCACATGCGGTGTAAAGACACTTTTACATATCTTTCAATCTTCAGTTCTAGAAAAATAAGCCTTAATGTTTTTTCTTTTCTTGTTTCTTCTTATAAAAAACACAACCTATCGGAGCTTGAGCTAAGCCCGAACCTGCATTGACCAAGCGAAGCTTCATCAACTTCATTCTTCACCACCGAAAAACACACTACTCGAAATAACACACTACCACAAAGTAGCGAAATTGCCATATGTTACAACATATAGCGCCTAATTATGAAAATTTTTTTGCATTTGTATTTAATTGTTTTTAATATGACCGAGATTCCACATAAAGCATCATCGCTAGTATTTACCTTTTTATAGATAACATGGAAATCATAATCAAGTAATTGTAATCTAATCCGTTTTAGTCTTTCCTGTGCGTGAAGTTTCCGATTGTCCGATCTACGAGGACGGTCAATTTCTTTCTATGTATTTTGAAAAAGGTGATACCATATAACAAATAATTCTTTTTCAGGGATTCATTCATTTTTTTATGTGCGTTTAATGATCTAGTTACATAGGATATCGGGAAGTCATTACTTATTTCTCCTTGAGAGAGGATAGCATCAAGAGCTGTTTCGAAAGCATACGTAGTGACAATGAAAGATTTATGACCGATATTGGAGGATTGCGGTTTCATTATTTTTGGGCAGAGATCGTTAAATGCTGTTTGGCCTTTGTATGAAGAGACGCATTTAAGATTTTTTTAATAGCGTTTCAAAGTGGTAGCAATTTTATCAAAATTTTCAATGAAAGCTCTATAATAATTGCACAAAACTGCAAAGCATCATCTATCGTCGTCTGTGTCTTTGTGGATAGAAATTTTTGATGACTCTGAAGGTAGGTTACAGGAACTGTAATGTGATTTGCAAGTATTTCAGCAATATATCAGATGAAGCAGAGATCAACAAGCGTATGTTGATGTTTGATTAATAGTTGGTTTCTTTATTTAAATGAAAGGTTTTATACAACTCTTAAAGCTGAAAGAATAACGATAAAAATACGAAAAGAATAAATGCGAAAGCAAAAATGTAAACCCGCATAATTAGACCCGCTTAAAGAGACAGCTTGACTTGGCGCATCGAAGCCGAGGTTAGGTAAAACAGTCAACACTCCTCGTCTCGCCTTAGAAGTATTCACAGGGAATCCTCCCAAACAAGAAATAAACGTACGCTGCGTTACATTAATGTCTCCACCACAATGGTGATTTCTCCACAATTGAAATCACCAACACAATAAGTCACTCCCAATCTTCAAACACATTACACTATTTAATGCACTTAGACAATTGCAAGATGTACGGTAATCCACATGGTTATCTACCATGTTTTTCTTGGGAAAAAATAACACGAGCGACGGGAACAAAAGCTACAAATTGAATATTGTCACATGTGAAATTATGCCAGCAGCCTTTTTAGTACTTCGTGCACCTACACTGCACTAATCAAAACAAACTGAACAAAACTTTGTCAATATTGCCAATGCAATTATGTATATAGATAATATTCTTAAAAAAGAAAAGGACATCGAGTACGGGAAGTGCGAATTTACATGACTCCTACTTGGATGAAGAAACGTACCATCGATTTTTCAGAGGACTCTAGACGACATCGTTTGAAATTACATTGAGAAGATATCCTAAGTCTATGTAGACGATATGATCATCTTTGGCAACGACGACGAAACGCATCCGAAAACATAGGCAAAATATTTCGAATGCGTTAATCAGCCAATGTGAAGGTACAGCTTGCTAAATGTGAGTTTTTAAAAACAGAAGTAGAATATTTTTACTTTCTAATATTTTCGGCAGGAATACGCGCAAATGTGCACAAAGTTGAGGCAATTAACAACTGCCCAAGCCCAAAAATGGTGAAGGACTTAAGGTCATTTCTACACATATCAGATCTTTAGCGCCGCTTTATCAGTGACTATGCTAAACTAGCAAAGCCCTTAGCAGGTTTTTCAAAAGAGGAAGGAGGACGAATGCAAAAACAATCTTCACCAAGGTATCAATAAAACTGGATGACAAAACATTAGAGGCGATTGATAAAATAAAGAAAAGATTAACATCAGAAAATGTCATGCTAGCATACCCCAACTTCCAAAGGGAATTTGATCTGACGACAGCTGCCTCAAAATACAAAATGGCAGCTGTGTTAGAACAGGGTGGTAGAGCAATAACATTCACCTCCAGAACTTTAAGTAAGCCTGAAAAACATAATCTCACAAACGATAAAGAGATATTCGCTATCAAATGGACATTTAAAAGTCTGAGGAACTACATTTATGGTGCCGAAAATCTAAAGATTTTCACGGACGATTAGTCTCTGACACGCACTTTAACCACTGGAAATATAAACAACAAAATTAGACGGTGGAAAGCGACGTTAGAAGAATATAACCACGAACTGCACTATAAACATGGAAGGAGTAACACAGTGGCCGACACGCTGTTCAGACCTCCACAAGGGATACTAGGAATATGACCTGCAGGCGCAACACAACACAGTAAGGAAGCTTCCCCGCGAAGCCTGATTTAACATACAAATGCTCCAAAAATTCGATTGAAGGATCAACTCATCATAGAGCCAAGCCAAATCACATCAGATGAATCATTTTCCTAACGTACCATACGCACATTATATTAGAAGCATTTCTGAATGCAATGAGATTGGAAGAAATCGACAAGAAATGTCTAAATCAATCAGTCATAAACCGCATAAAAACGACTGACCAAATACTGCGAAAAATACAAGAGTTATATTCCACAAGAATTCACAAGTTAAAGGCGCTCCAAACACGGAGCATGGTCAGTGGCGTTAACCAAAACTCATGGCAGGAACTGGAAATGATAAACGAATATAACATAGAAATGCCGAAGATTGGAGAAATCTGCGATATTAAATTTCGCAAACATATTGTTCGTGGCATATTTGTGTAAGCAAACTATCAGCTATGTTTCCCTCAAACAAACGCAACGTAATACATTAATAATTCATGGGTTAGTTTAAATTAGTTACAAGTTGTGCCCTTGTCGCTTGTATGTGTTATATACAAGCTGTAGTAAGTGGTTTTATCATGCATATCTGTTCATCAGATTTCAATAGCCTTTTTTTTTTCTTTCAAACACTAAACATCTTGCTATTACATTTTTTTTTTTTTTTTGTTTGGATTGTTGGGTGGAGATGGACTAAGCCAAAGGATTTGTGATTATTATTTGGACATATAAGCCACAAATCTATTGGCTTAGTCCATCTCTGTTCAACATACCAAAAAAAAAAAAAAAAGGATTTGTGGCTTATGTGTTCTCTTGCTATTATATTATCGTTTCGTTTGGCTTACAAGATAAAATAAAACAAACACGCTATGTCGTTGGTTCGTTTTCCTTTTTCGTTCGGTTGATTTTCTAAGTCATAATTTCGTATCGATTTTAATCGCGAAATTCTGTCATCATATGTACAAATAAACAAATATATTAAGCAATGAATTTCACGATGATTCCGAAAGCGTCTTAATACGAATGTACACTAACATTCGCCCTATCAGTGTTCGATGCCAGCCCTGGTCGACAAAAGCGCAGTGCTTCGTATATTATTCCGCCACTGCTTGACGTACTCTTCGACAACTCGGGATCAAAACCGCAGGCACGTATTCAAGCGTTAGTATAGCTGAAGCCATATCAAAGTTCTTGGTAAAATATGGGTCACTGAATTCTTTAGGCCGCCTTTTTTAGACTCCAGGAAAGATGTAGCTTATTCAAACGAAACCTTAATATAAATATCAAATTTAAGTCCTGGATCAAAAACAATACAATGCAATCAATCTGTAAAATTGGAGAAATTTCTCAGGAGGCGATTATTAATATGATACTAAGAGGGCAATGTATTAACCCACGCAAAAGATATCTTTCCAGTTTTCTTCGATTCAGCACCGTACCAATGATTACACAACATATGTGTAGGCTCTGACTGATGAACTAAGGAAGTTTAATACCTCATAGTGCGTCAAAGGAGATGGAAAATTTAAAGTCGTCTGCAAACATTAACACATGGCGTTGTTTAATGCATTCAAAAAAGTCATTCATAAATAATATAAAAAAAAATCAAATCAAAATAGTAATTGGGAAGAATTAACAAACCGCCTTGGGTAGATAGGTACAAAAAAAGACAATCATATTATTCGAAAAACCAAGACGATATAACTTACAGATTATCAAGACCTGATTCACTCTGTCGTAATATTGGAGAACAGCGGAAGGAACACAACCACGACCAGGAAAGCTGGAAAGCTCTAAAGTTCCGCTACGAAGATATCGTCTCCGGAAAAGAACACATAGGGAAAAATATCAAATGAGTTTATTGAATAGTTATCCGACGGAATATTGGAAGATTGGCAGACTTTGTCAGAAAAATATATCCAATTGTCAAACCTCATAACAGAAGGAAACCCTCCTACTCTATGTTAACAATTTACTAATTTAAAAATTTCCTTAGGATTTCTAAGAAAATTACTTCTCATTGCTTCAATAAAATAAGAACAACTAGTTGTGTTCAGAGTATTATAATCTCGTCTAGTGCTAGAGTATAACGTGTAATGTATGATCCATTAGGATGGAATCTTTTAACTAGCCAAACCACACAAATAAAATATTTGCATGCATGTGAGAAAAAAGCATATAAATTAATTTACCACCATTCAGCGCAAAGTTCTTTTGTATTTTTTGTATCACTGATGATACGTTTGAGTAAAAATCGTTATCCGCCAGCTGTTGATAGCCAACAGACTCCTAAAGTAAGGGCTAAACGGATCATTGGAGGATTCTTTTTATGCCATCACTCACATCAATTTTTCCTAAAGGATTTTCAAAAGCTTTCCTGCATATAACAATACGTATATATTCACTTACATTGTTGACAAATATATAAAATCATTTACTTACATATTTTCGGATAACATAAGACTATTTAAAGCGTGCAGCAGAGCGCTTCTACGTATTAGAAGATTTCTTTTCCGCCAATTTCGAAGTTCTTATATAATGTAATAGAGAAACCATTCCCCCTCATGTATGTCGTAGTGTGATCGCATATCAATATATGCATCCACTTTTAAGTGTGACAGAATTATGCAAATTCAGTATAATTCTTTTGCTAAAACAAAATTGAAAATTATGTCACACTTAAACTAGCTGAGAATTGCAATACGATGTCAGACGCCCCAATTAAAACAATTATTATTTGTTTACGTTAGCATAATTTATTGTAATAATTTGTGTATAAATAGCCAGGTAAGAATTAAATAAAGTTAATTGTCATAAAGCAATTCAAAAAAGCGTTTTATTCGCTAATGATCAAAAGGCGTTCCATCCGCCTAAATTTCATAGGGACTGTTTCTTACCGATCTCGATTGGCATTTTATGAAACAGATCAACTTGGCGTTCTGAAGCCGAGCAGCGTAGGGTATTCTATTAAAACACAGTCACACTTGGCAAAGATTCATAGTGAATCTTTCCATAAATAAACATTTATCCACTCCAGTCAATATAACATATATTACAATATATTTCTCAACAATACTTGATTATTTAATAACAACCTTTTTTTGTTTTGTTTAGTAAAATGGATTATGCCAGTTGATGATAAGAAGAATATACTCAGTAGAGTGATGATTTTTATGATTTGTTGCTCCTTCGCGCTTTACCAATGATGGCCACAGTATGTGATAAAAATATTGATGATACACAATTCATTGCAAACTTTGGTAAACTAAGATTAATAATTAGCCAATTGGAGTGAAAAACAAAAATTAAAACAATTAGTTTACTTAACCTTCACAAATCTACAAGATTTTGTTTGGGTTCAGCTGTTTGTAAGTAAACAATTTTGTTCGGTGTTTATTTCATTTTCAATTTACAACTATTTTTCTCTATAGATACAACACAACGCTAACGCAAAACGTGAGCAATTTTGCTTATGCCAGTTTTGACACTTTTGAGAAGGCGTTTTTCACACCTATTGTGCATACATATAGCTAAAAATCGAAACTCGAAAATGAAACCAATTTAATGCTATACATAATCAATGCCCTGATGCTGTAACCATATATGTTGCTGACTGATGCCAATGTGCTCTCTGAGATACGGCAAATCGAGAGACAATGATATTTTTGTCGCTTGTATTGGGCGTAAACCAAGAAACCAAGAAAAATTACCACAAAACTTTCTTTCACTGTTGCATTTGTAAAAAATTAGCGTCAAAAGAAAAATATGTACAGCTATTAGAATTGAATTGTGTTGTGTGAAATCAAGTTTGGTGAATAAATTTGTTAATTGTGAAGAAGAAGTATTTGACTTTTTTTAAATCTAACCAAGGAGATGTTAGCGAAATCTTTGTAGAGACTATATATTTCCGTTATGCAAAGCAATTAGTTTATTCATTTTACACTATTTTATTTCCGCGGCATCCGCCTGAGTGGCCGAGTAGGCAAGAGTCTCGACTATCAACGCTATGGTCGTGGGTTCAAATCTCAAGTGCCTTAGAGTTTTTAATAAAGCCGAAAGCCTTAGATGCTAATGCTTTTAAGAGTTTAGTCTAAGAATTTATTCTCTGGCTAAATTTATAATAATAATAATAATAATATTTCTGCGGTATTTTAAAAAGTTGGTTTGATTAAAATCCAATTAATAATACCAAAAAGTTAAATATAAAAACAAAAAAGAGGAATTTCATTTTCAAATCCTACTGTTGCTGGGAGTCCACTTTGTTGAGCATTCATCTCAAAGGTTTGTCGGATTGATTGCTATTCTACTTTTCTTCCTTTTTCTTTTTCTCTTAGCATTTCCTTTCGATTGTTCCGTCAATTTGTACATTGCTTCCAAATAGTTTTCATTTGTAGCCTTGCGTTTGGAAGAGCCAATTATCCTTTCAGAACTAACTGACATACTGACTCCTTGACGTATAAATTCTTTTATGTTTTGTTGCTGTGAAATAGTTTTGTTTACATTACAACAAGGCTTTGTTTTTGTTTCACATCTGTTTTATCTTATATATGAAGCTCTGAATATTCATTTCTATGGAGAATTCGTTCGATAAATATTTTGCTTTCGTCTCATGTGATAGATACGAGAGAGAGTACTTCACTGCTTTTGTGCATGGAGAATACAAAAGAAGGTATGGAATGAAGAGAATACATAATGGAAAATTACCTGGAAAGCGAGAAAGATAGTTGAATTTGTTTAATTGTTCAAATAAGCTCCTATTTTGCATAATACATGCAAACTCTAAGATTTCCTGTCACTTCTTCTAGTATTTACTTTTATATTATAACTTAACTTCGAATTCATATAATCAAAAGAAAAAATATTTTATCCCCATTTCGCTATTATTATCGTATCGAGATCATTGCCCTCTTTACAGGTAAAATGGTAAAAGCAGATCGACGGATTCTTACGCTGTATACTCGGATGAAACAAACTTGCTCACATTTTGTTGCAACAATGAAACATTTATGTGCATTTCACATGTACAATACTTATATTCGATTTCACTACTTTTCAACTTTAGTTTCGTAATAATATTCCCATGAAACAATGTATCGGCAAACTCTCAGATAACTAATTTTTACAATCTGTGGCTACTCAATTATTATCTAAAGAAACATTAAATACGACGATTAAAAAATATGAACTATGTTACGCCTTAAATTTCATTTTGAAGAAGTTTCCTGATAGTAAATAGATGCCCGGAGTATAGAGTTAAAAATTGTATTTATTTATTAATAATTTAATAATAGATATAAAACACAGTAATGTATAGGGGTTAGTGTGTAATAAATTATGAAAAATCTATCAAAATGGTTACGTCATCGCATTTGGTTTGGTAGGCTCACGTGCAGGAAGTGCATATGAATCAAAGTTATAATCATGCGATAATCCAATACAAAGTGAGGTTTTCTTCCCAAGATAATATGAAAGCAAAAACCTTGCACAATCCAAAATTTGCAATGTCTTGGCAAGCTGAACAGAAAATCAAAGTAAAAAAAAGAGATAAAAGCCGGATATATATTACCTCATAATTTGATTTAAATGTGCAGCAGCACTAGTATTAACCTTGTCTTATAGCATATAGTGCAATTATTATTATTATTATTATTATTATTTTAATTTTAGACTAATGAATTGAATTCTTAGACTAAAAAAAGAGACATTGAGCACTAGCAACACAGGCTAACGGCTCTAATTTAAAAAAATGGATATTAGATAATAAGCTTAGTAGTATTAATAAAGTAAAATATTGAATTGATATTCTGTTCTGAAACTGATTGTAGAATGTTCAAAGGGTTAATCGTTCCAAATGCAATACTTCTAGCCAAGGAAAAGTTGAGGCAGTCGCAGAGAATGTGCTTTATAGTAAGAGTTTGTCCACAACAGCAGATTGGGGGAGAAGACTTCTTCAGGATCCATTGGTGAGTTGCAATTGTATGACCAAGGCGAATTCTCGAAAATGTTTGGATCTTGGTTTTCTCAACATTTGTTGGATATAGAGGTGGAGTTAATTGAGGGTTAATGCAAGAGTAGTGTTGATGATGGTATTGTAAATATCCTTCTGCAATTTTCTCTTTAACTTTTCTTCCAATGTATCTTTGAAGATCCAACTTTTCCATGACATCATCCATAATTAGAGAAGCAGAAGCAGCATACTTTGCCGCTCGATCAGCCTGCTCATTTCCCAGTAAACCGATGTGACTTGGTACTCATAAAATTTTAATTTTTTCGTCGGGTGTAGTAATAATATTCCTTAATTTGTTGATGGTGCTCCATCTCGAAGTCGAAGGGTTCCGGGTAGCTTGTAATACAGACAAACTGTCAGTAACAATGACGGTTTTGAGTTTGTTTTTATGGGCAAGATTGGCAGCGTGAAGGATGAAAGTTGAAGTACTTTCGTGAAATATGTGGTTGACAAGAACCCATCCTGCAGCGTCTACCACCGCACAAGCGGAAGGCAGACCAGAAGATTTTGAGCCGTCTGTGTAAAAAAGATTCCAACCAGTACTCTCCAATACTTGAGTTTTTTCAGCTTTTAGATTCTTAAAGACGCAATTTGGAGTATCTTCTTTCTTGTGCATAGACAGTGAGATGTCAAAAGAGCAGTCTTTCAAAATCCAGGGAGGTTTAACACCAAAAGAGCGGAAAATTTT